TGGTTGCGTTTATTAAAGCAAACTAATGGCGACACTCGCAGTCCATCTGGTTTTGACTAGAAGCGTCGTGATTGCCGTTAAAATGCGCAAATTCTGCAATTTTCTCTTTTCCCATCCTTTTCGCTTGATTGTGTTAAAAAGCCATCAAACTCAAGTGGAGAAGCGATTGCCTTAAAAGCGCGCACACGCGAGAGAGGGTGCGATAGTGACTGCTCAAATTCCCACTCGTCACCTCCCACCCCCACTTCGCCACAGTACTCCAAAAAACCTGTTCTTCCAGTTTTGGAAAACCGCAAAAAACCACCGCGGCGGAGTTTTCGGTGGTGTTTTTGCCTGCCTGACAGTCGGCGAAAACTGGGTGGAGGGTTCTGTCAACGGCACGGCACTTGGAGTGAGAGGAATTTGATCTCCAACTTCAAAGCCGCACATCTTCCAAAGCTACCGGGAATCGCTACTGCCAGGCCTTGAGTTTAGTGCCTCTCATTTTTTTTCACACAACTCTTAATCTTTTATTATGTAGTGAAGGCAGCGGTGGTTTGAAACTTAGCAGGTGAGACACATTGCCAAGTGAGATGCTGCTTGTGCTCCAGCTTTTGTGATGCTGGAATCCGTTTCATTAAGCCCAGTTCTTGCTTGAAACTATCACAGATGACGTTTAAACCATCATTTCATGCCTATCATCAGTTGGAATCAGTTGGAAATAATGCAATGCTTATCAGCAGGCCACAATCGTGAGATCTCACCACGCGGTCTTAACATTTGCCCTGGGAACTGCTATATGATTGAAACTAGCATATGCCGCTGTGAAGTCACGGAAACGCATAGTTTGGGGTGGAAATACCAACGCCGACTGAGTTAGGTAGATTCCTCACAGTGACATCTGTCAAGTGTTTTTTTTAAGCAGTACTCGAAATCAACCCCACAACTAGCTTGACCCATCGCTCACTCCCAAACTTTAGCCTTTGACTGCGTCTGCAGGTGTTGTAACTTAAAAATGACAGTTCTCGGCGCCTCCAGGTTATCGTGGTGACCACGGAAACATGTTGAACTGATTACACCTTCTCTGGAGTAACCGTGTTTGTTCAGGTTTATTTGTTAATTCAAATTTTGTTGGAAATAACCTCACCACACACAAACTACCTTCCAGTCAATTGATTTTTCCTGCCCAAATTGACAATTATTCCTTGATTCAAGCGAAACGCGTGGTTGCCAACTCAGTTAATTTCATGCTTTTTGAATCTTTGACCACAGATCAATACTTCATGATTAACCACTGATTCGTTCAATGCTTCGCATAGATTTGTAATTAACTGAAAATAAACCAATGAAATTGCTTCGACTACTGAGCTGAAGTCACTAGTTTGAACTGTACTGTACACAGTTGTTTAAATCGATAATTTACGATGCATGGCCGATTTCTTCTCTCGATGAGTGCACAGGCCTTTCTGGTTGGTTGAAGTGGCGTTGATTGTTTAAACTAACGGATTGTGTCTCTAAACAGTATGACTGACTGGGCTACATTGCAACACCTGTCACTTTAATTAATAAAAAAATAATCCACGAAAAACGCACTTGCGGTGGATGTGATTGATGCTCCCAAAGTGAAAGGCGCGCTTTTTTGAAAACATGGCGTTTATTTTCACGCCACAGAACCGATAAATTATTTGTGCTTTGGCAATGAAGATGGATTGTGCTTATGTACCTGCAGGATATTGACAGGGCAGGGCGTTATGATTTGCAGAAATAACCACAAGCAAGAAAGGAAGAATTTAAACCAACCACTCAGAAAAGTTACCGTGTGTGGTCCAGACCTTTCGAATTAGACCACCGCAAGATGTTTAAATGCCCGATCATCGCATTGAATGAATAAGTTCAAAAATTATCACCCGCTTTTAGCCAATCGTATTGTGTCGATTTGCGGGACTCGAACTCATCGTGGAAATCGAGCTAATGAGGTTCTTGTACCTAGACACAGCCTGAAGAAACCAAAGACGCTGAGGACTCGACTGTTTATTGGCCCGTTTCAGTGGCACTGTGACATTGAGGGTCTTTCGAAGTTACGGTCAAGTGAACAGAAGAGAAGGGTGGGATTCAGTTCTGAAATTCATACATCAGCCCACTCTTAAGGATGGTTGGATTAAGGTTAATGCCTGAAGACCAAACCTGGGAGTTAGCAACTTTTCTTCCACAAACGCTGTTCAAAGTCTTTAAATGTCAAGGACCAGCCCCCTACACAAAGGCAGTAACCAAGCCATTTGGGTGTCACATTCTAAGATAAAATTATTTGGAGTGACATTTGTGGAAGGCTTTCTTCAAGGAAAAAATTTGACAAATGACTTAGTCGCTTCTTTGAAGTAGGTTTTCCAGTGTCGAATGAATAAATCTGGACTTTATTTATGGAAATCACCATCTCTGGAACCTGCTGGATAATTGGTGATGATGCATCTTACAGGAGTCAGTCCAAGATGAGGTCAAAGGTCAGTCGCAATGTCTAGTGGCTTTCCATTCCTACACAGAAACAGAAAATCACTGAGGAGCGGGTTTAAAATGCAGAGTGAGTTATAGGTAATCGGACTGTTAATGCCAGTTTATTCGTAAGCAGCTACTTTGGTAATGGAAAGGTTTGTTGCTTGGCAGGCAGTTGCGTGTTTTACTGCTTCGGATTGGAAGTTGGGAATAATTCTTCCGATATTCCAAGAAAACATTATCTAGAGTGCACGGTAGTGTCAACGGCACTAAACCAACGAAAATCCACGTCAAAACCATCGATAGGAGCTGTGTTTCATGTGTGATTAGATGGACCAGTGACAGGCAGCGACTACGTGACGGCGCTCAACAACGAGACTCAGCCATGAGTAATTAAAGGACGCACATAATCGTGGTGTTAGGCGCTTAAGGATTAATGAGCACTTCCCGCACAAATTGATTGGGCGACGTAGCTCACGTGACCTCACACCTCTGGACGTTGTTTGTTGAGGTCTGCTGAAGCTCTCTGTTGACGCTGACACACCGATGCTTATTCAACAACCTGCAGCAGAAATATTGGACAGTGGGCCGAAATGACCCTCTTTAATGCACATTTAATTGTAATGAGGTAAAAATTATGCCATAATGTAGCATGTTGAATTATTTAAGAAATATACTGACTTCGCTTATGCCAGCTTTCATGGGAATTGGGGCAATTAATTCAGGGCATTATAATGCGTTTACGGTTGGTTGCGCATTTTGCACTGAGTACTTGCTTTCTATCATGCAAATTTGAGGAAAATATGGTGCGAATATTCGCCTACACACTGATACATTTGTGATTTTCCACCAAAACCAGAGCCCATGAATTGGCATGGTAATTTGTCAGGTCGCCATGTGATTGAATGCTTGTCCGTGACATGCTCAGTGGTGGAAGTACTGAAAAAGGTTGTCATCTCCTGTCTGCATCACCTTCCGCCGCTGGTGGTTCAGTGGGCGTTGATTAATGGCTCCTGTCAACGATCACGACGACGACGACGACGACGCTGGTGGCAACGGCGGGGTGGTGAACGTGCGGTGGAGGTGGCAGGGGGGTCGCGATACGCGAAACCGTGGGAAGAAGTGAGGAGGTCGAACCGCGAAAAAAAACCGGGCAGCTGCCGACATCATCTCAGCGACGACAAGAAAAGTTTGTGGAGAATAAGTTCCCTGCAAAAACGACAAGTTGGTGATAGAGGGTTGGCGTGGATAAGGGAGTCAAGCTCCGTGCAACGACAAACCAATCAGCTCAGGGGAAGGTGTGCTCAATAAATAACGTATACAATGGTGTGTGAGTTCCAGTTGAAATGTCTCGTCATAAGTACTGACTTTAGATGCAATTTAGAGCTCTTATGGGACTAAATCTTCTAAATAAAGTGTGGAGCAAGTAGTTACCAAGGTTCATTAAGGTGACCAAAGAACACGTCAGCATCTTTTAGAGCGTTACCGACGAGGAGAGGTTATCAGCAGTCCCCCTTTTGGTTCCACGCTAGCACCGTCCTTGTTCAATGTCGGGATTTTATGGAAAGGCCTCTAACGCCTAAGATCTCCAATGTGCGTACCAAATTTGATAGTGGCAATAGGTGATACACGGTGTCTCGACCAGCCAATCAAAACAAAGCTCTTTATTAGCGAATGGTAATTGAGTAGACCAGGACTCGAACCAGGAATCCTTTGTACTTAAGACTTAGGAGTTGGTCACTGATGTGACGGTGTGTCAGTCTAAAATAGACGAGCCATTTGATTGTGGTCATCATCGTAAATGATAGGTGGTTTGTAACTCAACAGATTTTCTGGTAACGAAGATGGAGGTAGAGAAAAGTAGCGAACGTAAAAGTCTTTTATTCGTAAAAACCCAAGAAACACGATTTCTCGTGATTGTTACCCTAATCATCGCCGCTGGTCAATTCATAAATTCAACACAGCCGAAATTATCCGCCTTTCCGAGGCTGGTAGCCGCAAAATTGATTGGTCGCTTTTACTGCAGTGACTTCCTAGGGTGTAAATAACAGTAAAGGCATTTAATTTAAAAGTGTTGCGCATTTTTACACAAGGCGCATCATTTTCTGAACTTTACTGTTTTCGCGAACCAGCGAGAAGGAATCAACGGCCGCGCGCACTGGCATGCACACCACACGGATGACCTTGAAAGCGAGCGTGAGCGCGCGCGCGGACTACAAAAAAACGGCCTCGCTTTGCACACACACACGTACGCACACGGCTTTCCCCCCTTCGCACGCGCGAGAGAGAGAGAGCGGTGCACGGCCTAACAGGCGCGTGTGCAGAGCTTTTTTCCCTCCGTGCCCCTCCCAAGTGTCCTTTCCTCCGCTTTCACGCGGCAAAAAAAGCGCGTCGGCACGCGTAGGCGCGCGCGCACCTCCCCCCGCTCGTTCGCTCACGCGATTGGCTGACAGTGCGGAGCCTGCCTTGCCAGTTCCCACGCGCACACACAGAAAGAGGAGAGAGAGGGAGGAGGAGGAGGTGGATGAAGGGGACAAAAAACTCAGGTTTCGGATGGGTGGTGCGCAGGCGAGGGAGGGTAGGCACCCGCAAGCCCGCGGGAGAGAGCGAGGGGACACAGGGAGGGCGCAGCCAGAGCGAAGCTCCAAATGATGGATTGCCTGCGAGCGCATTTCGACTTGGGACGCAAAGCCAACGCTGTACATGTGCATGCGCGCTTGAACATGATACGTGTTTGGGCGCGCGCTATTGCTATCCTAATACTTTTAAAAGCAAAAATGAAGATTAAAATGCAAGGGTTTGGTCTCATTTATCCGCATTGCCAGGCTTCAAGTCTCGTGTCGAGAGAGAGGCTGTAATACGCTACCTTTTGGTGAAGAATCACGCTGCCCTCGGGTTTTCCAACACTTCACGTGCACAAAATGGTTGTTTCAGGCAAGGAATGCAAATGCTGTGTGCTCCACAGACGCTTCCGTGTTGAGTACTGATGCTCTGTGTAGACTCTACCTTGTCCATGTTCCCATGAGTATAGTCATGTGAGCTTATTAGCACCGAAGGAGCATTGATTTGGTCTTTGGGACCCCTCGGATTTCTTGTAATCCCCTACCAAGGGTCTATGAAGTAAATCCGAGACGAAGAGACGATTAGTGTATGGGTCAAGGAAGTGATGCGTTAATGCAAATTCGCACGGTTTATCGGTTGCCATCACAACAGCCTCAAGTGTCACAACTTCACTTAAACACACGATTTACTATAATTTTTAAAACAGTTGTTTATGCCTTTCACAACTGACAGCAAATCCAGGCCATGCAACCACTGACCGCGTAAATGACATGTCTTGTGAATTCATTTGCAGAATAAAACTGAAAGCGAGGCTTGAACGCAGAATTTCCAGGGTTAAAATTGGGTGAAGAGATAGCAGCATTCTTGCGTCCAAACACTCAAATTGAGCGCGTCAACTTTGTTTAAATGCAGTCCCTTGTAACAGCACAATCACGATCCAAAAATCGTGGACTTTAAGCTCAAAATAGCTGCAAGCAAGAAGTTAGTGGTTGATTGCAATTACGAATCAGTTTTTGACTAAAACCGTTCTTAATCTAAGATATTTATGGATTGTTTCGATACGCAGTACCAACCACAACCATGTGGAGCATTTCAGTATTCTGAGCAGCTGCTGACTGTCAAAGCTTCAGCCTGCTTGGATGCCTCGAGATTGTGTTCTCCTTCACAAATCGATTATTTGAACTGCCAAGCAAACGTTAACCGTCTTAACACATCCCCATATCGAAATCGATTTCACATAAACGTCGACATTGGAATTCAAGTTTTTAAACAGCAAAACTTATAATGCACAATTACAATCCAAAAATTGTGGTCCTTATGCTCAAAATAGCAGTTAGCAAGAAGTTAGGAGTTGATTCCAATTAGGAATCAGTCTTTGATATTCATCGATTTTTTTCGATACGCAGTAGCAACCCCAACCGTGTGGAGCATTTCAGTATTCTGAGCAGCTGCTGATTTCCAAAGCTTCAGCTTGTTTGGATGCCTCGAGATTGTGTTCTCCTTCATAAATCGATTATTTGAACTGCCAAACGTATGTTACCTGTGTCAAAACACCCCATAAACGTCGATATTGGAATTTGGGTTTATAAAGCACAAAAGTTATAATGTAAATTTTTCACTACTTGAGTTGAAGTCAAGATCGTTCACGAATGTTCTTACCTGCCTAAAATGAATCCCGATTCAATCGATTTCTGGATAGATTGTCTGATTTCTGTTTACACGTGACGTGGTTACCTTCGTTCAGTGTTCTGTGCATAAGTTATTTCGTTTATCTGATCGTGATATGCCCACACAGAATATCGGCTCCAGTGTGGTGTTAAACGGTTAAGTTTAAATGACCGCTGTCGTAGTATAGTTTATCGATTTCTACGACTTATCGGTTGTGATATGGAATTTTATAACATATTGTGCGCCATATTTTTACTAAAAAAAGTGACGATTTCTTCAATAAATTTTTCTCCCATGAAAGATGAATTTTATTCCTTTAAATTAAAAAACATTTTAAAATTGGCTGCGATCTGCTTGAACTTTTTCGTAGGTTGCGCCCAAAATTGGATTGATTCAAACAAAGAATGTTGCTGAACCAATTGCATCATTTCACTCTGTATACACTGATTATACTCGGAACAACTGTTGCAAAAATATTGGTTCAAGCGGGCATCCTTGCAGGAGTGTAACGGGGACGCTGCATCCCACTTTTTTTAACTCCGTTGCATCGCTGGATCAGCTTTTTTAACTGGTGCTGCTGCATTTGTGGGAAACGATTGTGTGTGTGTGTGTGTGCATTGTAAACAAATGTACACACTTCCAAGGTGACGTGGGATTTTTCCGAAAGTCTCGAATAATAACTGCGAAACGGCCTTGAGGGTAGCGGAATGTACTGGGGCCGGACCATCTTCGAATTTGGGGTCGAATTTCGGGTGTTGAAACAGGTCAAACTAGGTGAATTTTAAAAAGGACCAAGTGTGTGAAAGGTAAGCATGGGTTTCCGCGAGGTCTCTATCTTCAATAATTGGCCCCACGAAACACGAGTCAACATTCCCGCAGTCTCAAAACCATAAAGATTTTTTATAAATTAAAATCAAACGTCAAGTTTGGCAGCGATTTTGCGCTAGAGTTTCGACCTGGTGGTAGAAGGTAATCTAAAGTTCAAAATTCTGAAAAATTAACCAATTAAAACAATTTCCCAAATGCCGGACAAGAAGGCACAACTAAATGACAAGCTTCTTTTTCCAGAAAGGGATAGGAGGGAGGGGAAAAGGAGGTGCAGATTTCGGTGATGCTGTTCAACGAAACCCACCAATGCAGTCAAAATCCGTTTTTCCAAAATGGCGCCTCGTGATTCGTTTTTTTGGTTTTCATTCGTTTCTTAACCACTTCACGACTTGGAGCAAGAATGTTCGCCTGTGCCAGTTTCTTTTTTGTGGAACAAAAAAAGAAGAGAACTGCGAACGGCAGTGCTCGTTTGATTGGATTTCTCTGACCTCAAAGTTGATCATCGATTGACCAAATTCGCTCATTCAAAACTGACCAATGAGGTCAGAGAACGCGCCTAAAATACTCAACGTGTGCTTACGGTTCCCTGTGCCCTGCCATAAAACAAAGCCACCAGACGACAAATTTCAGTGCCGGAACAAGGAGATTTCCACACACACAGAGAGAAGGGTTTGAGATGATTAAGACGGGTTAGTGTTTGTTTCCTTCCCGTGCGGTGTTTTTGCTCTGCGTCGGTAACCTTAAGGGAGAGGAAACTAATTACGGTGAAAAATGAAAGCGATTTCCCTTGAAACGACCGGAGTTTGGGAAGGAAAAAAGTCGAGGCGGGGAAAAAAGGAGAGAGAGAGAGAGAGCGCGAGCGAGAGGGAGAGAGGGAGAATCTACTAATTTGGACTCCACTGACCCGCACGAACCCCACACCAGTTACTCGTTAATTATTTACTCCTCTGTCTCACCCTCGGTGTGTGGCTCGCTGTGCTCCGGTAGTTTGGTGGACTGATAACGAGCCGTTGTTTTACTGTTCTGACAAGCTTGTTAGGCGTCAGTTTGAAATCGTTCACTATGCCCGACATCACCGCAGTTGAATGCGTTAAGTTAGTTGGAGGTTACGTTGGTGTAATTTTAATGTACTTGAACTTGATGTGTCTGCCAAAACGAAGGAACCAATAAAAAACAAACAGGGGTTATTTAAATTGACGCGATCAGTGGTCCT